ATTGAGGTGTGTCCTACTAAATAAACATGTTATGCAAAATTACTAGGCTGTTTTGTACACCTTGTATTTTACTAATTGTCGGTGAGATGATAAAATTCTTCAAATGACTTCCAACACCAGTTTTTTTTTTTCTTCTTTTTTTCGGCATCCAATTTTAATGTCTAGAGGAATTGGAACCTCCTGATCTCACCATGGCATTTGAGTAGGAGCACTGTCCACATTGTACGTGGGTATTTCCTGAAATGAAATGCCTCGTGGCGTTTTGGGGATGAGTCGGCTTATGCCAGACCTTTTGCTTGTTTGGAAAAGATGGCAGTTAGATGTCGTACGGCCCCGTGAAAGATGGTCAACTGTACTGTTAAAGGGATATCTCAGTGTTAAATTTCAAATAATATTTTAGTTCTTTACTCCACTGAGACAGATTCTGTACTTATAGTGACTACATAGCATTTGGTCATTTGGTTGGAAAGAGCGGAGGTAATCATTAACCTATTCATGCCAAATCTCTCTGAGAAAAGAGTAGGAATTCATCAGTAATGTTGAGACCAGAAGGATGCAATGTGATGAAGCCAGGGGTTTCTTTGTCAGAACAGTATTAAGAAAACCAGCACCCCTTTTTATAGGTAGCTGGTACTTTGGTGCTTTAAGATTTTTCTTAGTTTACTCTTTTATTTCCTCTCTAGGCACAGTGCTCTCATATAACTGAGCCTTGTCAGGATAACTTGAGCCTTCGTCTGCACAATGCTTCACCTGACACTTGGATAACAATAAAATTAGAAAGTGGATATATGCGATCTTCCTGTTTCATGTCAGCTGTGCTTGTAAACCTTTTATCTTAAGTGATTTGAGTGAAAGCATGAATACCTTTGATATAAAATAAGTTGGTGACAACGTTAAAGCGGTTTTACCTGTTGAATAATCTCTGTTATCAGGGCTCGGATTGATTTATTTTCTGATCTGTTAGACAGCGTTCGCCTTTAAGGACCAACATCCCGCATCTCCAGCTGGAAATGTGGTTCCCATGGCAACACCACGGACAAACCTGCAAGTTCCTGTAACTGCTAAACTTAGTTGGACCTTCAGTGTTGGATATTTTCTGGTTCTGATTTATTTTCTCTCTCTTTCTCTTGTACAGTCTCTAAAGCGGTTCATTCTTGTGAAGGTCCTCTTTGTCTGTTTCAGAGCAGTGTTCTGGTTACTGAGCAGGTCAAATACGCCACCAGTTACCTGCCAAAAAGGGGCTAATGGTGAAGTTTCACACACACAGGCCTGGAGCTGTGATGGTTTTGTGAGGAAAAAGCTCACGTTTCATGGTCCCCATTTGGCCATTTCACAGTGTAAGTTTTGAGTAAAACCAAGAAAACCTTTTGTTTGTGGCTTTTTGAGCTCAGTGTTGGTCAGAGATGGTTTGCTAGTGACCTGTTTACTAATCACTCATCTACACAAATTTTAGTTTAGATATGCTCGAACTGTATCTTGTTTTATTTTCCTTGCACTTCTTATTGTTTTCCCATGATGCACATCTCAGGAGAACTCGGCATGCTCAGTGGGTGCTGCCACAGTCATCTCTGTCTCATGATTCTTGTTTTAGGCCAATCATGTGACAGGCTATGCCTCGTATAGTAGGGTAATTGATCTCATGCTGCTCTCCATTACCCACTTTAAAGGAGCTGTTTGCTCCTGGTTACAGACGAGGTGGGGTGATACCATCGGCCGCGCTTTCTGTTCTTATCCGTTTGATTTACGAGGCCATCAGGTCAGTCAAAGACCATCCTGAAATTGGTTTGAGAAACTGGCCAATCTTGGACTTTGGTTTCATTTTTTTATCTTTTGTTTTTAGTTAAGGCATCCAGCTTGAGCATACTTGTCATTTTTATTTCAACAAGTGTCACATGCTGCAGAGCCAGTTAATGGTGAGCTCAGTCTGTATGTTTTTTCAAATGAAATTGACCAATGAAAGAAATTAGAAAATGCTCATTGTTTTTTAACAGGCCTTAGAATAGAGATATGTCTGCTCATGTGGTCGGTTTGAAGGGGTATGCTTATTCTCGAAGCATGTGCACATATTATTCTCTCAATACACAGAAAAGAAAGCTCCTAATTATGCCTTTAGGGGTTCAAGACCTGTCACTGGGGCGCTACACTCAAAGGACTTGCTGTTGTACCCGTGTAGCTTCTCCGATTTACAAATTGGGAACATGAGAGAACCTTTTAGGGCCTCTAAAACTACAAATATGTGTCCTGAGTCCACAATGTACCTCCGGAGACATGAAAGTGCTCCTTTTTTCCGCTTCTATTTTCGACAGAGTAGTTATAAGGCCGATCAGGATTGGAGAATATGAAGAACACCTGACGGCTTTGAGAATCGGTAGTGGAGTTTTTTCCAAAACAAGGTGTGGCTCGGTGTAAGTCCACTCATTACGCCTACTCTGTGCTTCGGTTTGTGGGTGGGACCAGCTGTTTATTACGAGACAAAAGAGCTTTGCTGTTGGCCTGTGGGAGGCTTTTACCGCTCCTTATTGATTAAGCAGACACGTTTCCCCCCAAAGAGGCCTACAAACGAGGAGTACGAAGGACGGGCCGCCCGGCGCTGTAGCTCTGAATGACTTTGCACCGGCCAGCACGGACGGGGGGGTCGAATATCTTTAGGGAGAGATTAAAATGACTGAGCGCCACAGAGGTCAGCTCTGGTCAGCGGAGGAGCACAGATTGATCCATAAATCTGTCCTCGCGGATAATAAAACACGCTCCCGTATTTACTAGGCATGCACACAATGTGCAGTCCGTGAGCACTAATGAGGTTTTCATGATTTAAGTGACCCGCTTGTATTGCTGGACTCATGGAGGTGCATGCCGGACTCTATTTGGCCGGTCACCACCGTCTCCAAGGAGGGAAAGAGGGAAAAAAATGCTAATGACAAGGTGAGCCGCTGCTCAGAACATGAATCCGAGAGAGGTTCCATTTGTCAGACACACATAGGAAGACCCGGCAGGCTGCTGGGTGTTATCCCGTTGATTAAAAAAAAAACAGGAAAACCATGACACAGTCCGATAACCCTGTTTCTCTGGTGAGACCTGAAGGTTTGACTAACACCTGCGATTGCGTCACCGCTCCACAAGGTTGGACGGATAAGCAGCAGGAACCTTGGCGGCCCTCGGCAAAAAAATGTGTGTTAAAAAGGGTTTCTCTTCTTTTTCTTCCAAGGTTTAATGTCTGTTTGAACACGCTAGCCAAGGTAGCTTCTTGTTTAAAAGAGACCTAGTGTTTCGGGGGAAAACGGTCCTAGTGAATAAACCCTAAATCCACAGCAGTCATAACAACAAATCGGAGGAGATTGGCGAAGGCTGTTCCTCTTTGTGAGCTCGGTTGGTATGTAAATGTCCCTGATTTGACTCAGAATATAGATAGTCCTGTTCACCTTCTCTGTATTCATGACTTTAGGCTGTCATACATTCCACGTCGTGTCCACAGGGCACCTGAGACAGCGTGTCCCTTTTCAGCCAGACAGAAAAGTTGGATATTTTCCTAAACCGTTTGACAGAATTGTACAGCAAAGCACAGGTTCATGCACACAAGCACACACGTTCATTGGAATGTTTGTGAGAATGGGAATGGTTTAAGTGGGGACATCAGATCGGCTGGTAGCCTGACATGTCAAAACACTGGAACGTCCTTACTAAAAAGCTGCTGGCTAGAAGGCTGAAAGGAAAGCAAACAGTCACCGATATGCGTGGAGCTAATCATGTAGCTTGTAGTCGGCAACCTGTTGTAAACAGCATGGAGACAACATTAACAACAGCACTGAAGACAGATCTGTTATTTACTCCCCGTCTCTCATAAGGAATCGGTGCACTCTTCGAAACACTCGGTGGAATTTGTTTCCCAGCGTGCCTCGGTGCTGCCAGACTGTCCTTGTCTTTTCGCGTGAGGCATTTCCTGAGCTGGTCTGACCCTTCAGGGGAATGGCGTTTCAGAGGGGCCGAAGCTCGAACTTCATACGTGCTCAGTTTTAACATCCACTAATGTTTCCCGACTCAACTTCCCTCAGTCTTCATCTGTTTTTATTATTCATTGCTCATTATTCGGGGTCGTTGTCTGTTTGGGGATTCTGGCTGCAGCAGATGTTACAGAATGGGATAGATTCTTAAAATAGATTTTTCACATTTGGATATGTTTTTACTTAATTTCTTTTTGTTTGCTTTCACTTTTCCTTTTCAATCAGTTAACATATTTAATTTTCTACCTCTTATAGCAAAGAAGTCCTGTTCTGACACATAGTATTGTTATCTAATAGATTTTTTTTTGTTGTTGGCTTGAAGGGATGGATGTCGGAATACAGGTGATGTGGTGTTGACCTGGTTGAGTATTGCTGGCCTGAACTGTCCTCTGAGTTTCCCGTCTTTGTAAATCGTGGTGATGCATTAGTTGGTGCGTTGTGGATGTGTTTGGAATGACAGAAAATTCGCATTTGTGACGTTTAGAAGATGTTTGAGCATCTTTGTTAATGTAACAAGGGGTTGTTTGCATGTGTTTTATTTAGTTATGTATTAATCTCTTTTACATTATGGAACAGTGAAGGTCCCCGGGTAACCTATATGCGCGCCTCAGAGAGGGTCTGGCCGTTGGCCGTCCTCTGCTCTCCATTTGAGCTGACCAGCATTACCGCCCCTCCAAGATGGACCGGCCAGCCTGGATTAGCGCCGGGCTGTAATCTGGGACGCCGCAGATTACGCTTTTCATCTAATGCTAACCCCCCCCCACACACACACGCACGCATCACGTGACCTGACCGCGCCAGTGGAACCTCTCCTGTTTTCTCCTCTGGTGACAGGCTGGGTGACAGAAAGTGGGAGAGAAGAGGAATTGGCAAAGACAAACGAAAGAGAGAGAGAAAGAGAGAGAGAGACACCAGCTTGAACTGCTGATGGAGGCCATCTTCTGAACCCTGATTGCGCAAACGGATGCTGGAAGGATGGACTGAAAATTGACCTTTGGGATTATGGTGGAGAGGCAGAGGGGGGGGGGGGGGGGTGTGCGGCTGCAGCTGCCGGAGCGGACAGGTAACTTATTAACGTCCAGAAAAGGAGCAGAGCCCTTTACAACCCCCGAGGCCCCTCCGTATTAATGAGTAATGCAACCGTGCTGTTTAGTTTCAGCCTGAGCGTCCGATCGCCTAAAAAAAAAAGAAATCTGGCGTAAAAACCTAGTGGCGTTGCTCTCCATCACGTATACAACAAGTCCAGGGTGCAGAAAACAAGGAGCCACAGAGGCAGGCCAGCACGCGGCCCGGTCACATGCAGACAATCAGCACTCGGCCGGCTTCGCTTAGGTAGTGGGCAGTGGCAGGGAGGGTGGCCGTCGCTCTGACCAGCAGCACACGGCCGGCCGGAGACATGGAGCCCCTGGAGGAATACCACTCTCCGTTTGACTTCGAGCAAGGAGTCAACGCCAGCTACCTCTTCCTGTCCCCGGCCTACGGCGACACGCCGCCCAGCTCGCCGGCCGTCAAAAGCAGAGGTAACCACAGGGAGGAAAGGGAGAGGCCGAGTGTGTGTGTGTGTGTGTGCCTGACAAACATGGCTTAGGTTCAGTGAGCGGGAAGAATTTGGGAGAACACAAACTTTAAGGAGGGGGCGTGATGATTGGTGGTGGATTGTGTGCCTCTTTGCCAATTTTTAAAAGTCATTTGGTTATTTTATGATTAAACTTTGCTTTTGCCACACATTCTGTAGCACAACAACATGTCTTGTCCCCTAAATGCTTTTTAAGAATATTTTTAGAGTTCATAACTTATAATGAGATGTGCTCCAAAGGTGATCCAGTTCAAAGAATAGTTGTCTTTTCCTGTTCAATAAGAGAATATTTAACGAAAGACTTATTGTGGGAAGAAAAAAAACTGTTTACAGTTACATTAATTTGCACAAACAGATATTTCGCGATCTTTTCACCTCAGTTTGATCTGCTATACAAATGAAGTTATGTGATTGTATATCATTACCAATTTTTTGAATAACATCAAATCAATTGTAAATCTCCTGAAGCTTCAGACTTTTGGGTTGGATCAGAATTAGTAGAGTTTGGCACAGACATGTCACATGACTTATAAACCTTCTGTACAATGTGGAGGCCCCAAACACGCCATTATGCTATTTAGAGACTTGCATTAATATGTGTGCTGCTTTGCTTTTTAACCTGAAAATAAATTAAAAACCTTTAATAACAAATCTAAACAGACTGTATGAGTAGCATAAAAAATAAACCAGCTGTTAGCCACAGCTGGGACAGATGCCATTGGCCCTGCTGCCCTGCAGCATCTTTTTCTAGTTGGATTCAGTACGTTTTTTTTTTTAGAGGTAGCGTCTACCACAGGTCCTCTATGGGAGGAGCTGGACTTTACGGGGCTTATTTGCTGATTCAGGTGGAGCACCTTTTAGTTTTTTTTATATAATGCAATCTTTTCCAGTCAACCTCACACAGGATGGGCCATCAGCACAAGTTTTTCAAACTATTCTTCTTTAACATCATCTTAATAATAATGGGCCCAACAGCTTTTTACTTTTTCATTTTTTTTACCTTTTCAACAATGTAAATACTTTGCTTTAACGAAGAGAATCCGTTTTAATCAGAATCTTTTAGCTAGTCACACAATCTTATCTACATTTGACCCTCCCTCCCTTTTTCTTTTCCTCCTTTTTGTTGTGTTTTTGTTTGTTTTGCTCTATTTGCCATTGATAGAGGCACTCCTTTGCGGCTTAGGCCTGTTAGCTCGCAAAAGTGGGCAGAGATCATTTCTGGCTGCAAGGATTACAGCATTTTACAGGGCAGAAGACTCAAATGAATGTTTTTTTTTTTAAAGTCAGTTACTGAGTGGTGCAACACTGGCTGACTCAAGCCCTGGAAGCATCTGCAACCCACTGTTGCCATTACAAGACTGTGGTTTTCTGTATTGTGCGCTCAGTCTTTCTAAGAATTGGGAAGAAGGCCAATATGAATGTGGAGAAAAAAGAGACACTTCAGGGAACGAGTGGGCGGGGGGGGGAGGAATGTCTCTCCTCTTTCTTCCTGGCTAATGACTGAAGCTCTACTACTGGTTTCCACATTTCTCACAGCGTGCTCGGACGTGCACATCTTTACACTGGAGAGATGCCCCGTCGCCTCCTCTCACGCCCAAAGTGTTGATTAAATATAAAAACACAAGTAATGGCAAAGCACCAGCTCTCAGTTCACGGTCATTTGACAGGACTGGAAGGGTGAGAAAGAGTGGAGGAGTTTGAATTATGGGACTGCGACACAAACGGGCGGCTAAGTAGTTTGGAATGAGGCGGATATTTTTGGTTCGTGTTTTTTGAGTGAGCCTGGGGTGTATTTGCAGGGTGTGTGAGCAGCATGGGATCAGTGTGTGCTGGGAGTACAGGTGCAAAAGGGAGTGGACTACACAAGACAGTGAAACAGCTTTTTTTCCCTTTAATTAGATTTTTCTTTTTTTACATCAGTGTGACGCGATTCTTATTCAAAGCTCTTTTTTTTCTCTGGTCATTTTCTTTTGTTTGTAGCTTTCTGTGCCTGGTTCATGCTTTAAGACTTCACGTGCGTGTCGTGGACTCGAATGAGGCCACTTTTCATCACACCGATGCAGAATTGACTACTCGTTCGCCAACTTTCGGCTTCAGCCTGTCAGAGAGGGGCTGATCACGTGATATAACAACGTGAAAAGTGGCCCTACGCTCTTCTCTGAGACTACAGGCGTGTTTTAATTCTGAAAACGCATTGCATCGAGCGCCACAGACTTTGACTAATACTGCGCGCATTAGTAATAATGACCTAATAATGACCACAAGCAACATCCACTCAGTGGGAGATCATTCACATAAACGCTGCTTATTAAGAGACTGCAACTTCACGGACAAAGGGCGATGCACAAGGTTTAGTCGCCATGACGATGGGTTCAGAGGGGAAGTGATGAATATCCATGCCCACCTCTGTCCTAGCCTGTTTTATTTTATTTTTATTTTTTAGTTAGCTGTGCCCCATTTCCCTGTTAACCGACACGGCATCAGCATACAGTTCCTCTTTTGACCTCTTCCCCGAAGCCCTGTTTAATTCAGCTGTTCAGTTTCCTCTTTCCCCATCTTTGTTAGTGTGCCTTTTTTTTTTCTTTTACTTCCTTTGAATAACTGGAACCAAGGTTCAGCTCAGTCCTGGCCCTTAAACATCTTCGTCTCTGACTGACGGATGCAAGCAACCGTCCCCCCCCCCCCCCCCCCCACCTCCTTGTGTTCCCACGCTGTCTGAGCATGGGATGTCATCATCATGCATTTCTTTGTGGAATTCATGATGCAAGAGCTCCCACGGGGCACAGCATACGTCCACCATGACTTCCTCCTCCTCCCCCTGCTGTGGAGCTGAATTATAGTCTGACCAGCTTCACACAGCAGACACGGTCACTTTACCGTCTTTTAAAGAAGACTTTTACGGGATCCGGCCTGTATCCTTAGAGCTTTTGCATAACCTCTTCTGCCTCCCAGGTCCCCTGGAGAAACCGGAGTCGGTCCCCGAGATGGGAGAGGACGCAGTGACATCCGTGGGCCCGCCCCCCCCTCCAGCCATGACAGAGGAGGAGCGTCAGGAGCTCCAGGAAGAGTTAGATAAGGTCAGCGGGGCTCGGGGTTTAAGGAAGTTGTAGCCATAGTGGTCAGAATCACATGTCTGACACGACTGACTGTAAACGGGGAGAAACCCTCAGTCGGTTTGTTTTTTCTTTTTGTAAAAATTCCCACCTGGCAGCCACACGGCTCCGTTTTTTTAAATATTACTAAAGATAAGGCTAGCCAGGTTTTGATATATCGACATTTCCCTGTCGAATTGAACAAGTGTGCTTCCACACGCTCAGGTTGAAGATGAGATCCAGACCCTGTCACAAGTTTTGGCGGCCAAAGAGAAGCAGCTGGCCGACATCAAGAGGAAGCTGGGCATCACTCCTCTCAACGAGCTGAAACAGAACATCACCAAAACCTGGCAGGAGGTCACCACCTCCACCGCGTAAGCATTCCACCACAGCCCACACCAAGCTGTTACCCATTAAAAAAAAAAACGTTTTCCCCCCGATTCACACTCAGATCAAAGCCTTCCAAGTATCGTTCCTCCAATTTCCTTCTAATCCTAATTTGGTGCGTCCATTATAGTTGTGTTTTATAGTCTGCTGGAAGCCCGACTGGCTGTCGGCACTTCTGAACGAGGTCTGAATCAGGAAAAAGACGTCTGCCCTGGTGACCGGTCGCCCCGGGCACCGGCCAAAACAGTTATATGGGGTTTATATAACAGGAAATGGGCAGCCCACTGACGCTTCCAGGCTTTATTAAAAATGAAAAGGACGTTCCCGTTTAGCCGCAGCCTCTTTTGAACCTCCGTGTTTTTCTTATTCTTTTTCCACCACGCTCGGATCCTCAATTTCCGCGGCCCGTGTCTCGCCCGCTCAACCCCTCTGTCTCTCTCTCTCTCTCTCTCTTTTTCAATTTCAGCTACAGGAGGACGTCTGAAACTCTGTCTCAGGCCAGTCTGAAGGCCACCGCCGCCTTTTCTAACATGGGCTCCGTCATCAGCCGGAAGTTTGAGGATGTCAGGTGAGTCGGAGGGGGGGGGCGTGCCACCTGCAACCGTCCTCCGCCGTTCTCCGTAGTAATTAGTGCTTCTTTGCAGAGTTTAATCAGTATCTTATGTCATCATAACATAACATGCATCCTGGTTTCCAAAAGAAATGTTTTTTGTTTGTTTTTTTTACATTGTCCTGTTCAGCATTATGACAGCAGAACTGAAATCTGAGTACCATGCTATGCTGAACAAAATTGCTTTGCTAAGGAAGGCTTTGTTAGTGAGAAGCCCCCGTTGATTACCCAAAACTGCTTTATTTATTCATTTTTGTTACCAAACTTACATGTGTCCAATAATGCCGAACCTGACAGAGGGACAGGGAAGAAAGAAGAATAGTGGAAAGGAGAGAGATTCTTTAGAAAGAGAGAGAAGGGGGAAAAAAAGAAAGAAAGACAACAACACCATACAACCAGCTGCTATGTCTGTAAAAAGAAATGTCTTTTACAATCAGGATAAAATCAGAGGATTTGATTTCAACACAACAAGCGTTTTGTCCTTATTAGAGATACGCGCTCATTTAGAATTGAGTGAGTTTTAGCCCAGACATGGTTGTTTTTCTTGGGTGTGGATAACTTGCTCCGCCCTTCCGCTTCACCTCTGCAATAAAGCCAGCTTATCACTAACAAACCACGCACTTTATCAGTGGAACCACAGATCCAATTAGTCTCATCTCGGTCCAACAATTCCAAAACAATCTCGCTCACGTCTTCAAATCCATCAGTTGTCTCTCATTGATGGCTGCTCAAACATGGCCCCAAAACACCCCAACAACAGATTGATCATGTCAAGATCCTCCTTTCTTTGATTTCCACCCCACCCACCCACTCACACACACTCCTGCTCTATCTTCTTTTCTGTCATCCTCTCCCCTCCCCGGATTATTGAGCCGCAAACAAGATTATTAACCCCCCTCAAAGCTACAGTGTGCTGAGAAAGGCAGCCTCACAGATGAGCTTCAGGCCCACCCGACAGGGGTGTGTTTGTCCTATGTGTGTGTGCGTGTGTGAGTTCGGTGTCCAGATATATATACCCTTAATGCACAGGATTAGCACGTACACTCTGTGATAATACACCATCCATCTCGATGGGATGAGGTTGGATTTGTAGGATTTTATGCTCTTGGTAGCATAACTGAGCTTTTTCTTCTTGTGTGTTGTGCATTCATAAATTAAACTGTCTTTCTTTGTTTCTCCTCCCCGTGCTTGCTGTCCTCTTTAATGCTAATGTCAGCTCTAACCACTACTTCTTTTTTTTTTCTTCTTCTCCAAAATGCTGCCGGATAGCTTACAATCAATCCAGCACTCGGCTAGCATGCCCACCATGAGGTAAGGGCGGTCAGTGGAGCTAAAAGCCTAAACAGTAGCAGGTTTAGGCCCGTAGACAATGTGACGGCTCATTTTTTGAGGTTTTAGACGACAGAAATAGGTCCAAGCGAGGACCCTCTGGATAACCAGAGCGAGGAGCCGCTATCAGCCACCCGGCAGCTTCTCTAATCTCTCTTAACCAGGCCCCGCCATGTCGTCAGACTCAGAAAAATCTCACCCAAAGCGCCGAGATAAAAAAACCCAGCCGGCAAACGGGGAGAAGGCCCGCCCTCTGAGCGTCCGGCGGGACGGGGGCTGGGGTTCTCCGCACCGCTCAGCTGACCACCTGTGGATCATTGACAAGGAAATTAGTGTTTTTTGATGACTAGGAAAATGCAAAGCCGCCTCCCGCTCTCATCCTTTTCACTCTGCCGTCAGGAAATAAGCACGAGTGTCAGATAACTTTATGGTCAGGTCGAACCCCCTCTCTCCCCTTTGAGGCGGCGGCCATGTTGTCTGCAGGTTCACTCTTTGTAAACCTCACCCTCTCAGAAGCCCTTTTTTTTTCTGTTTCACAGGAACGCACCGACTTTCAAGTCAATCGAGGAGAAAGTAGAGACCCTGAAGGTAAAAGTTCAACAGAGTGCGGCAGCCAATCGCACCACAGGACCAGGAGCACACACACACACACACACACACCACACAATCACCACTCCCACACATCGAAATATTATGACTATTAAACCGAATAGTAAACTGAAAAGTAAATGGTAAATGCATAAACCTAAACCTTTTCTCCCTATGGTTGTGCTTTTCTTTTCTTTTTTTAAAATCAGGCCTTAGTAACTCTGAAGTCTCTTAAACTTGTCAGAAGTTTTGGGTATAAGTTACTCAACAGAGCTGAGAACAGCTGGACTGAGTCACCCACCGGTTCACAGACGATTGACACTTTTGCCATAATAACAATGCTTTTCGACCAATGTTTAAAGTAAGAATGAATATTTGTTTAAGGGATGACCCCTCGTGACTAAAATAAAATGGAAAAAAGGAGATCTACTAGCAGGAGTTTAACAAGAAACAGTTTGACTGTATATTCAGTCCATCGTCTTTAACTCATTGGCTGCCAAAGACGTCTATAGACGTCTTTTATGTTTTTCAACGCGAGTGGCTTGGGGGACGATCGGCTAAAGCTTTTTCATAAATATCGGCTTCTAGACAGAGTATGTAGTAACAAATTGACCCTCTAGGTAGCAGTGCCACTTTTGATGGGAGATGAGCATAGACTGTAGGCAATTAAATAAAAAACGTAACGGTTCGCTATGAGAGAACATGTCGCCGGTGAGACGCAAGTCGAGGAAGAACGGAATAAGGTAGAAACAAACATTTTTTTCTGATGAAAGAAGAGAGTCTACTCTTTCTTTTGGTGTGTTCGGTGTTTACATAGTCATAGCACAAACTATTCTGTGGCTCTTGAAAAATCAGTCAAAATGCTCAAAAAACTCTGGCAGTATGGGACTCTCTGTTCTGAAAATGGGTGGCAGTCAATGAGTTAATAAGTTATTTTATTATAATCAGAATCAGAAATACTTTCATAACAATTTAACATATTCTTCCATCCTATTTCTTCTTCTTCTCCCTCAGACCAAGATCACCCCCACCCCCTCCACCGCTGACCCCAGCAGCCAGGAGGACGACGGCTCCCTGAACACCGAGTCTTTGGTCAGCCAGCCGGAGGACCCCCCCTCCCAGGAGCCGCTCATGCACTGAGACCAGCCCCCCCTCCTGGCTGCCACCCAACCCCTCCCCG